AAAGGAGTAGGAGGAAGGGGGGGGGGATTTTTACATCTGGACTTCATTGTAGGGAGAGTCCCAACAAACGGACGGGCAGCTGCCGGCAAACGACGGGCCTCCGCCTCTCACTCTGTCCACCCCTCCCTCCCTCCCTTTCGTTCGTCTTTCCTCCTCCCCTCCTCACACTCACACGAGCTGAAGCCCCTCGACAGGAAGTACAGGCTTGGATCCCAGCGGGGGTTTCTAATTCAAACCAGCCCAGTGGAACAGCCAGAGGTGGCCGCTCCCCTTTCTCTCTCTCTCTCTCTCTTCCTCTTTCATTCTAGCTCTCTCGCTCCCTCTTTCTGGCTCTGTGGGCTTCGACCAGCTGCCCCTGCATGTCCTCGCAACACATGCGCACACAAAGGCACGCACATCTCGATGATAAACGCACACCCACCACCTTGTCGTCTAGTCCCAAATAGCCAAAAGCTTTTGAGCCGCTCACCAAAGCTCTTTGTGGTCTCACACACACCCGGAAAGAGGGGAAGTTTGAAAGGAGGGGGCTGATGATTTAGATTGATCTGTGTGTGTGTGTGGTGTCAGTGGGGCTAATACATCTTCCAGGTCATTTGGGGGCAACCTCCAAGGTACTACTGAACTCTGCTAGCACCATGTGAACAACAAAAAGTGGGAGAGTGAGAGTATTATTGTAAACTTAAATTAGACAGGAAGGGGAGTACCTGATGCTTTTAGACGTTGTTTATCTGTGTTTGTTTAAGTGTGTGTGGTTGTGCATGCGTGAACATGTGTGTGTGTGCTGCAGTGTAACAGACAGAGGAAGTAGCTCTGTTTTGCTTCCCTCTCCTCCACGCCCCCAGCCTCTCATCACACCTCAACTTCAAAGCCTGTGGACCCCAGTTGTCCCTTTGGCTAGACAACACACACACACACATATACTGCACTCTGTGTATACCACAACACAAATTCATCCAAACTTACAAACTTCTCTCTCTGGCACACACACACATCCTCATCCTCGTAGCCGTGGAACTTGCCTGCTATCTCCATTTGCTATATTTAGGCCTTGAGCACAAGATGTCTGAAATTGCCGGCAGTAAACTGTCATGGGTGTTTGTGCAGCGGCAGCGCCGTCTGTAATCGACTCTCAGTTCCATCTCAGGAGGAAATAGACACTTCCAGCTGCCTCTGAAGCCTGGCCCACATATAGGTGTCTCCGAAGTCCTCAGACGTCAGCGATGAACCAACGCTAACTTAGGAATGTCTGAAGAAAGCATCGGCAGACACAATTAAATGTAATGTTTTTCACTGTCTTTCTGCAGGGAAAAAAGACCGCCGTGGGTCAGATGATGATGATGATGACGACGATGATCTTCAAGGTCTCTATGACATGAGCGATGACGATGAGGGCGGAGACTCAGGTTGGTACAGTATTAATCATGGTCGCACACATTTGTAGTTGACAAACTTTTGAAAGGGGTTTTTGGCTGTGTATTTCTTCACTCAGTATTCAGAAGAGACTGTTTTGATGTACACCATCAGAGCATGTATATAAAGTCATTACTAAACAGACTGGCAGATTATATAAAGGGAAACCAAGTACAATACGTTTAGTAACCGCCCACTGTTTAGCATTTATGGAGCATTATAATCATTTGATGATTGTTAATTTATGATTAGCCGATCAGGGCTCCTACAGCTAAAATAAACTACGGACGACATCTGAGGACATGAATAGGGAAATCCAGTTTCAACTGAATCATATTGTTGTGATTAGATTTTCTGATGCACATATTCATTCTTATTAATGAATGCCTTAAAGTAAAAAGTCAAGTATAGTATGTCATGTAAAAAAAGTTATGGTTTAGTAGGGGGAACAAAAGTCATGGTCAGAGTATGTGCAGAAATTCATACATTAGTATTTAAATTAATTTGTTTGTTGTCAAAAAGTCATTGTAGAATAAATAATAAATCCCTATAGTTATACATTAATATATTGAAAGAAAGTCATACTATAGTATATCCAAAAAGTCATAGTATTGTATTTTGAAAAAAATCATGCATTAGTATGTCAACAAAAGTGAAATATTTGTATGTTAAAATAGTTTGTCAATAATACATTATGTTATAAAAAGGTTGTATGTCAAGTAAAAATCCATAACCCTTTCATTAAAGGAATGCTCCACTCATTAGATAATTAATCAAAACTTCAGTATTTAGTGAAACATTATGTTTAAACCATACCCTGAAGAAATCAGCGATATTCCCCGGTAAATAATGATTTTATAGCTCTTTTTTATCTAAACCTGTATATTCCGTCAGGCCGCTGCCATTTGGCCCATTTTCAGTGGTCACGTGATGGTCGTGACGTCATCCATGCGTTCACTTTGTAAACACACGAAAACATGGAATATTTGAGTTCGGACTCGTCAGCCGAGGAAGAAGTTTTGAGCAATATGAAGAGATTGGAAGGGGGAATTCAGCCATACAGGTTCGAGCCTACTTAGTACTACTTAGTAGATACAATGATTTTGATTACTAGATATGTATGCATGTAGTACCACCCTTGCTAGCGATTCCCTCTCTAGTTTAGCATACTCAGCCTCGTTGTCCCTGGCCCTAGAACCACGATTTTATGGGGCCGGAAAAACTGGGGGGAAATACCCACTAGCCGGTACTACGCTATATGGAAAGGCCACCAAAAACTGGCCTGGCCTGGACGATAAAGGACGTTTAAACCGGGGCTACCCGCTGCAATGGAAATGCGCTATAAAACATACCTTATTCTTACTCCGAGCACTACTTCTGGTCCTCCGTCGCTTCACACTTGCAGAGGGCGATTTCTCAACTGGCCGAACTGGTGTCCTGGTCGGTGATGACACCAGAAAGACCGATGGTACTGCATCTCCATTAAGTAATGGTTGTTCAATAAATCCCATGTTATGTTTTATCATACTCTCAGAGTAGTCGTCCGGAAACTTGAAATGTTTGCTGCATACATGCGCCTGTGGATCTTTCGGTTCGGGCCGGCCACATTTCGCTAGCCACTGCCTCCGAACGTACTTCCTACGCTTACCTTTTGGCAACAGATGGAACCGAGCATTCCGTGGATTGTTCCTATCAGAATTGTGGCAATGTTTCGCGATACAATGAGGCATATTTGAAGAGAGTAACTACAGTAAATAACATGAACATCAACGTGTCCTCGAAACCAAACGCATGGTTTACGTCACGTCCGGTAAAATGGCGCCGCCCACAGTGTTGATGTTATTTCGGTAATTAATCAGTTTAAAATCACTTATAATGTCATCGGATTAAAAAAAAAAAGAGAGAGACTGGCAGAGACTGGTCTGTTTTATCGGATGATAATTTTTTTTAAATGAGTGTCATGAGCATACCATTCCTTTAAAACAAATGTTGGTTTAATAAATACCTATTATTTTTCCTGAAACATAGTATAGCATTCATCACAAATATGGTAAATTATTTACAAAGTCACTGTACTGTTGTTAAAAAAAAAAAATACTAGAGTAGGTCATCCATCCAACTTTACATTAACTAACATTGATGAAAACTCAGCAATTTCTTAACATATTACATATGTTAATGGTTAATTGTACCCAAAGTTTATTAAAACATCAGATATTTTCCAAATGGTTAGAAGCACCTGCTGGTACCCCAGCAGATAATAAATAAATGGTAATTAATTTGTCAGATAAAACTCCTCCTGCCCTATAGGTTGTCTGGTACATCAACAAATGATAAATGGCAACACAGTGAAAGGTTGTATGTACATTATCTCTTAAAAGTAATGAATGCACAGGTGATCAAAAATGTTCCTCTTGATACCTGCCAGTCTCACATCCCCGTGTCTGAAGTTAAAGTGCTTGCTGTTTGTGTTCCAGATGACGATGAGGAGTTGGCCACCACGGCCCCCGAGCCCCTGACCGCCGCCGCTCTGACAAAGCTGGCCGAGGGAGATGAGGATGTGGTGGAGGACCTGCAGCTCTCTGACGATGACTGAGGTGCATGGACGCACACACTCGTCATCTACATTATCAACCTTATATACTCAGAAAGATATTGGACACTTTTTGCTATTTTCCTTGCTTTTATATGTTCTATTACTTCACCTGTACAGTAGAAACATGTTCATGATGTAATGTTATCAAGCATTGAAATTCTGAAAACAAAATTAAAGAACCCTGATTTCATTTGTCAATGATTATTAATAATTTGTTTCGAACAATTAATTGAAGCATGTAGATGCACAAGTGCACACCTGTACGCAGCCTCAGGCTCTGGGAGGCCAGGCCGGGGGGGGGGGGGGGGTTCAGAGAGGCGGTGTTGAGCCCTGAGGCAGCAGCGCTGTGCCAGGCTGGCAGGGTGGCGTCTGATGGTGTGCCAAGACTCTCTGCCCAGGTGGTGGAGCAGCAACACAGGCTGGTCTGTTTCTGTGCCAAATCCTCTCCCACCCCCTACCCAGACCACTGTCTTCTGTCTCTGAGTTCACATGCTCAGACACGGCGTCACCACTCCATTTTCCTTTCTCTACTTCACTAAATTAAGGTGATACTGGTCTTTGTTTGGTGAACAGTTATTGCATGCATTCACTGGTGGCCCAATAAAGGGCAGAGCAGTTGTTTTGTTTGGGTCTAAACCTCAGTGGAGATTTGAGAATATTTTTTTTGTCATCACTTTGCCTCTGTAGTTTTCAGTGAATACAGAACCTTGTGGTGCAGGGGCCCAGCCTAAAGCGAGGGGAAGTCCCAGCAGAGCGTGCTGCTTTGGTGTGTGTGTGTGTGGGGGGGGGGTGTGTGTGGGGTCAGGTTTATCCCCACAGGCAAGGGAGGCCTTGGCCTGCGGCTGAACCTCACACTCTGACAGCTGGTGTTGACCTGAACTGTGCCCCCCCATTCACACACACATCAGGAGACCACATACTCCCTCCAGCACGTTTTTACAGAAGAACCACAAACACCTGAGGAGCAAAAGGCGTACACAAACACGAGAGAAAGGAGAATTTCTGTAGGATTTATTTCACCTGTGTGGTGAATAGAAAAATAGAATGAAGACAAAACTTTTGAAGGGAAATCTAGAGACCATTTTTTTTTTTTATTCATTGCTTGCGTAGAAAGAAAAAAAACAAATTCAAAACATTTGCGTTAAGAGCTTTGTGCCTTTGTCTTCCCTGCAACCAAGAGAAAACAAAGTAAAAGTATCTTTGGGATCCATCTTAAGGGCTAATTATAATACATATTATAATCTGCTTTATCTACTACATCAAAAGTCCTATAAATATTTTTTTCCCTCATTTATATGCTGAAGTAGCATTTGAGATTGGAACATATTTTAATATTACACTTTTAGAAATGGCAAAACAAGAGTATGAACAAAAGTACCAAAGTTCAGCAAGTCACATTTTTCTTTAGTAAAGAAAACCTTTTTCGTGCAACTACATTTAACAAAAAGTAAAAGTACCACGTATGTAACCTTCAGGATATTTTCATCTTTAAGCATGATTCTGTACAATTTTGCATGTTTATCCTACCTCCCACAGTAGTCAACACGAGCATTCAATGGCGCAAGTCGCCATTGAGGCTTCTCCATTTCACCAAAATGTTTAAGCCTTTATTGGTCAGTAAATGACAGCTGTGTCACCTCGAACACAGACCATGGCGTGAGGTGCTGGCCTAGCACTTCCCTGTTGGACCAGTCTTTCTCTGAGACCATTAATGCAGAAAGAAGCAGACACGTTGTGAAACATGGTTTCAATTCCACACATCCGGTCATCTTTGGTATCGGGACAGTGGAATGCATAGTTGCAGTGATAAGAGGGAGCTGGTCGAGTGCTGCTCAGCATATGCTTTAACTCCAGCCTCTGCTCCACGCTGCTGTCTGGCCTCAGGAAACAGGCGAAGGGAAGGAGGGAGAGGAAAAAAGGGGAACAGCGTCTCTTTTTAATTCCTGGGTTCTACAGGGCTAGTGGTGAGAAAGACAAGAGCTTCCTCCAGCCCAGGAAGGAAGAGTTTCCTCCAGCGTCTGACTGTCTGACTTGCAAGAATGTCACATTTGTGGCAGAGCTTCGCTCCTTTTTTTTGGCAGGCTGTCTGTGACCAGCTGTCTCCCTTTCCTCTGTTCCTCTGTCGCTTCACGTGTCTCCCTTCCAACCCAGTTTGTTTGGATTCTGCTCGGCTACAGCCACCGCAGAGGAGCTCAGAGGCTGATTGGTTTGTCGGATACGCTTCAAATGTCTGTTATTCCAGTCCAATATTGCCCCCTCAAGTTCAGCATAAAGGTCCCAAGGTGGGGGGGTCTGGCAGAGATCTCTCCGGGTCAGGTGAGTGTGAGGCAGGTCTCCCCTCCCCTCCCCTGCCTGTCCTCTCCTACGAAGGAGTTTTGGCCTCGTATCTCCCCATGACCACGGAGCCATTTTCCTGCTTGGGTGAAGAGCACCCTGGGGTGGGGCCACGATATGGAGAAGAGCTGCTGCTGGTGGAGGTGGGTCTGCAGGGCAGGGACAAAGAGAGAGGTAGGGGCGTGTCAGATGGCGTTGTAATAGGGTCCCGATCACGTTCAGGGGGGCGCAGTGCAGCAGAAGGCGGAAATGGGAAAGCTAGCGGGAATCCAGTCATGTAGAAAAGCCTGCCAACACGCCGCGCCACCTGAGGAGAGGAGAGACTGTCAGTGCTGCCTGTTGGGTATTATGGGATGGACTAATGCTGTTTACTTTATTTTAAACGGAGAGAGAGAGAGAGGCAGCAGCCTTTGGGGGCGGGCTGGTTTACAGGAATCAGCTATGCTATCAGTTAGTCTTAGGCCTATACACAGAAACACATTCAAACACAAACACACAAGTTCACTCGTTCACACACGCAGGCCTGTGGTGTGTGTACCTGTGAGCGGATCTTGAGCGCCGGCCCCAGCTTTAGTCCCATGGTGGTGAGCAGGTGCTCCTCCGTGAGTAACGGTAATGTCTCTCCATCAATGGCCTGCTCCCGAAACACCTGGCGGAGAGACAGCCGCTTCAGCCACAGCCCGACAGAAACACACTCGACACACAGCCTACACATTCATCCACACAACCTACTGCACAGTGACTGCGCTCCTAACGTTATATACCCAGTGTGAGAGGGATATATATATATATAGCTAAAGATGATCATTCAACATTATTTTTAATTAAGGGGAAGGGTCTAACCGTGTCCTATCAGAGCAGTTCAGCTACTAATAACAATCATAAATGTATCTTCATGCGAGTAGTTACAAAAAAAAAATATTGTAATGGAAATATCCTTTTGAAACAATATATAGCCTTACACACACAGGCTGCAATTTCAAACAGGACCATGTACATACACACACACACACTCACAATACACTTTAAACACTAAGCTGTGCAGGTGTAGTGCTTCTACCTGAACAGAATGAGATGCTACACAGTAGTGTTGCAGTATATATTATATTTAGGTCAGTGTTCTGCTATGTTCAGTAGTCAGCCTGCCCTTGGCCCCCCTCTTCTCTCTCTCTCTCTCCTCCCCCCTATGTCCTCACCTGTGTGTATTCAGCACACCCAGCCAGGCTGCTTATGAAGCCGCACACGTCCTCCACACTCCACTTGCTGATGTCCTCCACAGGGTTCGCTGTGGCCGAGTCCTCTCCATCCATGAAAAGACCTCCCACAGAGCCTGAGGGAGCAGCAGTGTGAAAATGATGTGTCAATAAAAACACAATGTACATAGTTCAAGCTGCGTTGAAGACAAATGTCCACTCTTTTTAAGTGTCCCTAGTCTTGCAATTATCAGGTTCTACATCACAAAAAGATGTGCAGCAAGATCCTCAGTCTAAATAGCAACAACTTTTTTCTTCTGATATGAGAGTCAGTTAGAATTGGGTCAGTATTACATTCTTTTTTATTATTTGTATTCTGTGGATAGCTGGCATGTTTGGTTTGTAATTGAAAGTATAAATTGTAATAAAATGCCTGTAAGAATCTTTCACTGCCCAACCTGATTTAATTGATCTAAGTGTTAGGTTATTTTAATCCAACACACACATATTCAATGTAAACTGATTAAATAAACAACTGAAAACGCAAAGGTGGAACCAGTGAAAGTTTGTTCAAAAGAATTGTTCAGCTTTATTTAATTAATATGAAATAGCTGCTCCTGGTGGGATAAAGTTAGTTAGTCTTCTTGTGTATGAACAACCAACCCCAACGCCCCCCCCCCCTTCCTGCCCACGTGGCTGTGCTGCTGCTGTGCATGAGGGTCACACTGGGGTCAGAGGCAGGGCCCCTAACAGGGAGAGGTCTCCACACTGGAGACACACACACAAAGAGTGACGCTAATGGGTTTCACATGTCAGCTGTGTGTGTGTGTGTGTGTGTGTGTGTGTGTGTGTGTGTGTGTGTGTGTGTGTGTGTGTGTGTGTGTGTGTGTGTGTGTGTGTGTGTGTGTGTGTGTGTGTGTGTGTGTGTGTGTGTGTGTGTGTGTGTGTGTGTGTGTGTGTGTGTGTGTGTGTGTGTGTGTGTGTGTGTGTGTGTGTGTGTGTGTGTGTGTGTGTGTGTGTGTGTGTGTGTGTGTGTGTGTGTCTCTCTTACCCGTGTGGAAGTAGGGGTTGGTGTAGGGGAATCCGAAGGGCAGAGACTGGGCGTGCAGAGCAGGCAGGGGGGGCATGAAGCCTGGTGGCAGGTGGTACTTGACGTCAGCCTTGCCCAGTCCGGGGGTGAAGAGGTGCCTGCTGGGAGACTCTGTACCTGCTGAACCGCACGGGGGGCTCAGCCTGCTGGAGCTCTCTGCAGGGTCTTTGGCACTCACTCCCTTGCTGCCTCTCTCTCTCCCCCCCTCTGTGTCTCTGGGTTTACTGCTGGACCTGGCCCCGGCGCTGTCCTCCCTCTCCTCACACATCTCTGTTTCACTGTCTGAGTCCTTCATCTCCTCATCCTGCCCCTCCCTGTCTCCCTCCCTCCCTCTGTCCTCTCTTCCTCCTGCGTGATCCCCAGCATGGAGCGGCGTCTGGGGGGCCCTGCGGGGGGGCTTCCTGGATTCAGCTTCTGGCCCAGCAGTGGATCTCTGTGCGAGGGAGTCTTTGGGTGTGGACGGGGGCCCTGGCTGTTGATGCTGGTGGTGGTGGTTGAGGGTGAGTAGGGGGGTGGAGGCCCCATGGCGAAGCACCAACATTGCATTTGAGCGTCGGGCCAGCTCCTCGCGGAGCGGATGGCCTTCTGGGATGTCGTGGAGGCTCCGCAGGGCTGGATGGTCGGGGGGGAGGCCAGGGGGTAGAACTCCTAAATGGTCGGAGCCCAGCAGACGATGCTGCTGCTGCCGATGGTGCAGACTCTCCAACTCTTTCTGTCTCAGCAGCTCCGCCGACATCTCAAGTCTGAGGACGTCAAACACGGGGAATTAAACTCAGGGCCGAAGGTTTTAAATATTCACAGTATTTCACATTCACAACACTGCTTGTGGGTGTATCCACAATGTTTTACAGACTGTGACATTACAACACACACCTGGCCAGATTCTGCTTCCGCAGCATCTCCTGTTGCCGGGCAAAGAGCTCAGCTTGGGCTGGTTGAAGGAAACCATAACCTGTTAGAGAAAATTGCAAGAAAATACATACCTGTCAGTTAAAATGTAAAAAGTAATTTGTAAACTTTTTTTAAAACCGTGGGGGAATGCCAATCAATGAGGAAAAGAGATATGTATTTTTTATTTTAAAATATATCAATCATTTTATAATGATTTATCATTACATCTGGTTTGTTATAGAGCATGGAACAATGCAATTGGTGAAAAATACACATTTATTTGTATTCAAATGTCTTTAATATGTTCTTTATTTGTGCAGGACTTTGATTTGCCATGTGGAGAGATAAGATAAGATAGTACTTTATTGATCCCAATTTGGGAAATGTTTGCGTTGCAGCAGAATAAAAAGACATGGCATTGTACAATACAAATTCAAGACAAGAAATAAACAAGGAAATGGAAATGTGCTATATAAACAAAATGTATATGAATAAAAACGAAATAATCAATGATGCATTTACATTGTTTTATTTATTTTTTTATGAATACTATGATGTTTTTATTAATACTATAACTTTATAACAGAACCTTTTTATGAAAATAAATATATATTTGTATGACAATTTTACTCTTTTGGATATCCATAGTATTGCTATTTACTATTTTATGACATACGTTGTGACTTTTTGCCATACTATACTATGACTTATTTATGACATTGTTTTAACATTCTATGAGTTTTTTCGAAAGATCTACGTTTTTGACTTACGATGACTTTTTTTTCAACGTACTAATTTATGAATATTTGACATACTATACTGTAACTTTTTACAAACTTGCTACACTTTTTGATTTCGACATATTATACTATGAACTTTATTTAAAAAACTATGACTTCCTAATTTCTTCATGACATACAATACATTTGCTTTAAATACTACTACCATTACTTTTTTGCGACATACTATATTATATCTTTTTAACAACACACTGTCCCTCAGATTCTTAAAAAGTCTAAAAAGGTATTCAATTAATTAATTTAAAGATAAGGTTTTCATTGGTATTAAAAGTCTTAAGTGAGCCTTTCAAAAGTCTTAAAAATGCTAAGACTGGATTTTTTTAATCCTTTTATTTTCTGACCTTGCAATTTAAAATCAATCAATTAAATAATTGGCAATGTATCGTAGATCAGGAGAGCTCAACCAACAACACTAATGGGGATGCACTTTCTTCTAGCTAGCAACAACATGAGGAAATATTATGTTTTAATAAACATTTGGGCAAAAAATGTCCCTTGCCAAAAAAATACAGATGTTTTTTTTCATTGCATTTGGAAAGCCTTGAAACGTCTCAAATGTCCCCTGCCAAAAGCTGTAAAAACCATCTATTATATTTTTATCCTGAGAAGACTTCAGACTCACCGGGGGCTTGGCAAAGGGCAGAGGGCATGCCCAGGAAAGGGGGCCGCAGGTGATGTCCTAAGGCGATGTGAGGGCCGGTTGGAGGGGACAGTAGGGGTGGAGGGTGGGACAGTTCTCTGTGGACACAAATATGAAAAAAGTCAACATTAACTTCTGTTCCGTTTTACTGGATGCTTGAAAATGCGCCTGGCGGAGATGTATAATCAGGGCCGCCCCTCCCTACAGGCCAATCACGCAGGCTGCATGGGGCCCCGCCTTGCGCAGGGGGCCCCGCCCAGAGGGCCTCAGCTGCTGTGCGCAGTTCTCCGCTCAGTTCTCCGCGCACCCCCCGCGAGAGTGAGAGGTGACAAGGGGAGCACGTCTGTAACCCGACACCGTTGCAATGAATCGACATCTGACCAATCACGGCTTTGATACGGCCACTAGTGCAGGTGAAGAGATGTCGGTGAAAAGACAGTTTCAGTCCGGCACAAGCAAGAGGGAAAAAAACTAAACATGAAGAAACTGGAGCATCACTCGAAGGTGGGTTATTGTATGAGTCAAATGTACAACTTGCGAATGTTGTATAAGTCAAATTCTAAACTTTTGCCAATTGCCATATTAAAACATCAGCTGCAATTCACGACATGAAGAAGGCATGTCTCTGCAGAGCATACAGGCTAATGGAGATGCAGTTATTTCCAGCATTCTTTATTTACCATTCATTCAAGTATGTTATGCCTTTGATCTGCTAATGTACAGGAGGAAGAGTGATAAACTGTCTGTCTAGTTGGCTTAGTTAAAGTTTACAGCCTAAAAAACATGGACCTTTTTTCCCCCTTTTATTCATTTTTTATGTCAATTTGCACATTTCATGTTGATGCTCAGCCTCTCCCCTTAACTCCTAACAGTCATCATCATGTCAACCACAACACAGAGAAATACTGATAGCAATGTGTGTGTAGTGTTTTTGAGCATGTAATAAGCATGTTTTGTCTTGACTATATTATAATAAAATAATATAGTATTTATATTATTGAATTGATTATGATTATTAGTAGAAGTAGTTTATTTGCATTAATTATATTTTAATCTTTTTGAGGCTAGTATTTGGCAGGAAATGCAGACGTATTCAATTCACCTGTAAACGCATACTGAACGACATACATGCACATTTACCATGTACCTCACTGTATAAAAAAGTAACTGTGATAATAATAATAAACAGGAATTATATTTGCAAAGTAGCCTACTTTGTTTCCAAAAAAACATTTTTCACTCCTGTCGGTTGGGGGGGGGGGGCCTCATCTCACAATGTCGCTTGGGGCCCCAAGTCGGCCAGGGGCGGCCCTGTGTATAATAGCCTAGCCTATATCATATGAATATCTACATTAAAAGAATAGTTTTAAGTAACTATTTTCCTGGTGTGTGTGCATGAATGTATGTGGTGTATTTTTATCAGTGGAGCTCCAGAGGCCCCTGTGTCGCCCCACTGCCTCATCAGTCTTGTCACGCCGCAACAAGCGCCGCTGGCCATCGCTGTACCCTGGACTGCAGCCTTTCCTCTACTGCCGCCCCACAAACACACCATACATACACAGAAATACACACAACTCTAAACCCACACACATAATGAGGGCTGAATGCACAATGCCAGTGTGTCATGCTCCGACAGCTGGGGCGGCCCCTGCGTCTTGACCGGGGCCACGGGCTGAAGGACCTTCTAATTAACACTCATCCCTTCTCTATTCTCTCCCTTTTTTACGCCCTCCTCTCCGTTTCCCTCCCTCTCACTCTCTAGGCTGCATTGAAACCGGTGAAAAGATGGAGCGTCCTGCAACCTCTGCTTCTGAAAAGGCCTCCCCATTATCGGCTCCGTCTTTTGTCCTCCTCGAGGGGGAAAGGCGCCTCTCACCTTTCTCCCTCTCTCTACATCTCTTGTTCAGTCTTAACCATCTTTTTCTGTTATGTCAATGACCTCTGAAAATCCGGTTTGTTTACTCTTTTCTCTTCCTCCGCTTTTATTTCTTTCACTCTGTCTCATCCTGTCTCTTTACCCGAGCCTTGTCTTGCCTCTTTGTATTTCTCTCTGTTTCTGTCCCACTTCTTTTCTTTATCTCTAATCTTTTTCTGGTTTTTCTTTCAGGCTTCTGCACATCTCCATGGGTAAAGGAACATGGTTTTGAGGAAACAGATACAAACTCTCAGTAGAGTGAGGCATGTGCACGTTGACCGTTTCAAAGAGTCAACGTGTGGGTGAGGATTGCTTCGCAGTGTCCTAAACCATGTTATCTGGTTCCAGAGCTTTCCTCAAGTCAATCTCTTGCTCAGGGGCGGTTCTAGGGGGGGGGGGGGGGGGGGCAGTGCCCCCCTAACACTGACCTCTGACCCCCCTAACAATGAAAAGTTTTTTTTGTTTTTTTTTTAAATGTATATTTTCTGGTACTCGGTTTGCCAAAAAACGCAGGATTTTGTTGCTGTAATGTGAGATTGTGCAGACACCCTTATGTAAAGTAGAGATGTAACTGTTCATTGCCTTTATTTTTATATAAATATGGTGTTAGTGCAAACATTGCACTATAACTTAAGCTGAAGCTAACAGTAATAACTATAAGATATATCTGAAATAAATAAATGTACTGAAACAAATACCAATAACTGTATTGCATTGTTTTCGTATGCACAATTACTTCATACTGTCTAGTTCTCTTTTTCGTCCTGCATTTATTGTGCCCCCCTCAGAAAATAGCTGGCCCCCCAGTGGCCCCCCCAGTCAAATTGGTCTAGAACCGCCACTGCTCTTGCTTCCTACACCTCTCCTCTCGCAGCTCCTGTCTCTAGTTCTCTCCCTCTGAGCTGCTGCTATCACACCAATCAGATCTTAGCAGTGTGACGGCCGCAGCACAAAGCTGAGGAAAACAACAAAATCAAAACCAACACTGGGACGCAACCGCAAATATTGTTTTGCATCTGTGTTCAAATTAGCTAGCGCCTGCATGTCTCCCGCCTCACTAAATGGTGAGGAAAAAAGGAGAGAGAGAGGGAGGAACTGCAAGCCAAGGAGGGAGGGCACGCATAGATGGGGGGGGGGGAGAGGGTGGTGGTGTGTGTGGGGGTGAAAACCATTCATCGATCGCCTCCGCCGCTGAAATGTTAATGCTAATCGTATAACCGCTCTCTCCGGCGGTGCCTCGCACTCCAGTGGCAGCTCCAATTAATCTTGGGTGAGGGCTACGGCGCGTGACCCCGGAGCCGCGAGCCGGGGCCCCGCTAGCCGCTGCTTATGTAATTACACCGCCCAGTGTGTAATCACCTGGCCTAATCCCTTGGGGCTAGCAATTAGCCTTGCGACGCGCAGCTCTACTGGGCTACACCAAAACGCCCGCAAAACTCCCATCCACCTCCGCCATAGCTCCCGCATGCCAAACACCCATCACCCCCCTTTCTGATACTCCCTCCCTTTCGTTCTCCCCCCTCCTTGCACCGCCTACCCTTGCCTAGCGTTAGCCCGCAGATGAATAACGGTCAATTAAAGCTGCATGACTGGGGCTGCCAGGCGTCTGCGCCACCATAATTAGGCCTAATCATGGGGAGTGAGAGAGACGGAGGGAGAGAGACAGAGAGAGATGTGGAGAGAGAGAGTGTGCCTGACACTCCCCTCCACTCCCTTCCTCCATCTCTCCCTCCTTTCCTTCTTTTACAGGAGGCAATTTTAAAGGGAGGAGTGGCAGACATTAGTCGTTTTGCTCTGGGCCTGTGTGTTTCTGTGTGTGTGTGTGTGTGTGTGTGTGTGTGTGTGTGTGTGTGTGTGTGTGTGT